ATAGCTTTCTCCAGGGTCAAGTCCGAACCCTCACCAATGCATTTTTCACGTACCTTGTGATCCCGGGTACCGAACACGATGGCGTCTCGAATCATATCGTCCTGATCCTTATATCCGCATTCTTTCACTAAAAGTCTGAGATCTGTCAGAAATTTTTCAAACGTTTCTCCCTCCTTTTGTGTCCTACTGAGGAACTTGTATCTCGAATAAACACGATTCGACTTCGGTTTCACGTGGTTTTCAAATTTCTCCTTTATCAGGTCCAGTCCAAAGACTATTTCTACCTACGTAGCTATTAATAGCTACCTAGGTATTTAAAGCTACTTCAGGTAGCTATTTTTACCTACTTTTTGCTTTACACGCTTTTCATGGTAAAACGCGGGAACGGCGCAACATGGTGAGTACAGAATTTCTTGATATAGTTTCATTGAAGATGACAACGGTAAAAACAATGGCTTAAAATGATGACTTTATCCATGCGAGTGAAATGAAGCACCTTGTTTCGTATTGGATCTACCAACTGCACACGTTAAAACGAACACTGGTTAACATAACACCACATTTACTCATATTTTCCATGCAAATGTTTCTGTACATACCTCAGAGCATGTTTTCTTCGACTTGAAACCGGATATCCTTTAGTGAATTTAACTCTCTGATCCGGAATCGGTCGGATCATCACCTTTGACGCTAAAATCTATGGAAGAATGCCAATGTCATAAAAACAATTTCAGATAGAATACAACATGTCAAACAGAAATAAAAATAGAACTTGTTACATAACAATTTGTTCAAAATATATGAAAAGTAAATGTCACTGTAATACAGAATAACCATGATAACGCTAGCAATAATCATAGACCTAGTTGGGAAGGGAATTGTAAAACGAGGGGGGGGGGTGCTATTGTATAAGAAGAATGACGTTTAATTGTATTTATTTTACACTCTTTCGTTTAAAACAGGAAAGTCAAAGGTATATTGTTAAAAAAAAAGGTGGATATAATCCTGGTAAAAATGTTGCCGGCCAGACAAAGAGGGGTAAGCCCCCAACTGGTCCCCAGGGACAGAAATACGAAGAGGACGGCAAGAAAAGGAAGCAAGTTTTATACCAAAGAAAACACACTCTTTTTAAAAAAGTATGAACTAAATATTAAATATTTTATTAGTAATTGTGTATACCTTCTTCATCTGATTTTATACATTCAGCATCCTCCAGATGTTCAGTCACTTGATATACATCTTTATAAAAGCTGATGAGAAGCGACTTCTTCTCGTTTTTCACAGCCTTCCATTTCTTGTTATATTCTTCACCTGCAAAAAGGAAATGCTGTGCAATACATATATACATGCATAAAAAGAAAAATTTGATTTTAATAGTTAAGACATTTGCTACCATGCAACAGAGAAATTAATGCAGGGCATTCGGGGAGAGGTTTTGACAATTGCTAGCGTACTGAAAAGCTGTAAATTTTATTTCTATGATTTTTTTTCCAACTTGAAAAACAATAAATCTACTAGTATACAATTTTCAATAACTTTATGCAATACTCTTTAGAAATCGGGGTGGGGCGGGGGATGTGAATGAGCCTTAAATTTCATGTTATTTATACCAACAAAATATGGTTTTACAGTCTTTTTTATAAATTGCAAAATAAAAAAATATATAAACATATACCTAGATCCAAGTCTTCTTTGAGAAGTGTGTTAATAAGAGTTTGAACCATTTCTATAATTTGTAGCTTTGTTTTATTTTCGATGGCGTTGTAATTTTTCCTGTCAGTAGGTAGGATGAAGATGGGTTCTAAACTTCTGGAATTCATGCTGTTGTTTGAAAGCTGTTCTGTAAGGAATTTATTTCGGTTTGTTTTGCATTTAAGTGAAAAATTAATAAGATCGGTGTCTAGAATTCTGTTGTCAAGAGTAGTGTGATTTCGGGGTTGTGCGGGAGAAAGTAGATATTCAGATTCCCGTAACTTTACTCTCCATTGTGTGATTTCATTCAATAACTCTGTATGGTACACCTCGTTTGCATCTTCCTTTATGCAAAAGGCAGTGTTCAAATTTTTCCGGATCTGCATAAAATTAAAAAAGTGTAAATCTATGATGCGAACACATGCATATATATAGAGGGTTAAAAATTTAATGTTTTTCGAGAAGGGTTGGAGTCAGGTTACAGGGAATATTCTTTTTTTTTCAAGATAAAAATATATTTATTTACACATTTCTCAAAAGTAACAAAAATTATTCCACTTTGGGTCGAGTCGGGTGGGGGTAGGAGAAGACATTTTCCTAAGTCAAATGTCCCCAGAAATATTACTCAAAAGTTGTAATGGGGTTCCCTGTTTCAAGCGGAGTATGAAAAGGTGTATTACAAGATCGAGTTACCTCAGTCTAATTAAAATTAGATCCTTTGCGCATCTGTAATTTGTTATGTCGTTGTACATCGACTATCAGAAATTCGGAGCGTAATAAAAATTATTTTAATCTGATAGAAGTGATTTAAAATGAAAATAATTTAGTTACATGTATTTTTTCAAGGCAGAAGAGTTGTATACAACAACAAAGGCTGATGTGCTTGTCCTTGTGCGCACCGAGTCGGGGCGCCTGTTTCATATTAACACACCACATTTTGATGAGGTATATATGCTTATTTAAAGCAATCAATTAATAATTTTTAGTGTATTGTTTTTATACATTGCATAAAAACTTATGATCATAGAATAAAACATCTTCAATATTTTAATTGTAGACATTTCAGCAAATTCAGACATTCCTCTCTAAGCCTGCACACACTACCCCCTCAGCTCCTCCCACTTCCACACAACCTCGCCCTACTATTTCCCTCCATTCTTCCTCTTACTCCAACAACCCACTTCCTTCTACCCCCTCAGCTCCTCCCACTTCCACACAACCTCGCCCTACTATTTCCATCCATTCTTCCTCTTACTCCAACAACCCACTTCCTTCTACCCCCTCAGCTCCTCCCACTTCCACACAACCTCGCCCTACTATTTCCATCCATTCTTCCTCTTCACCCAATCCACTTCCTTCTACTTCCTTAAACATGCCTTCTACTTCCTCACAGCCATACTCTAACATTGAGTCTGAGGTTGCACCAAGAATTGCCCTATTTCCATCCCCACAGGCACGACGTAAACCTGCTCACCCCCTTGGAGGGAAAAGGAAAAATGGAAATGAAGAAGAGGTCCCAAGGAAGAAATTTAAAAATTCCTTCACGCAGACAGAGGCAACCAAAACAACTTTGCAACATCGTTGTAATGTTTGTTTGAGTGATTCTGACAAGGGGTATTGGGTTGGGTGCAACCATTCTAGATGCGACTACTGGATTCATGACATTTGTCTAGGCTTTCATTTTGTAAATAAAGCCCTAATCAAGAAAAGTAATAAATATTTTTGTCCATCACATAACTGAATAAACTGAATAGCATTAGTTCTTATAGTTATAACCTTTTCAAATCGGTCTAAATTTCGACAGCTTTGGATCCAGTGTTTTTCTGTCGGAGCTCCAGGTGGCAACCAGTGTTTTGCTCTCTTGTTCCTCGATTCTAACACGAAATCGTGACCCTCTCCCTTACTGGGATGCCCAGATTCTACACCATTTACCGAAATTAGAAAAAAGTATATTCCATAACTTCAGTGTTCACATAAAAATATATTAAGTGTATTTGCATAAAAATAATTAAACATGTGCATGAATTATATGTGTACAAAACATATCCTTACGACTGATTGACTCATTTTCTTCGATGAAATCTTTGATTTCACTAGGAGCAGTTACTCTCATGAACAGATCATGAACCTCAATCTGTTGATAGTTTATCTTCCCCATCCCAAAATACAAGGGAGAAAATTTTAGTCTAGAAACTAAAATGGCATGATGGTTATTTCTCCTAATGCCAACTCTAAATAGATACAGAGCGAGGGCATATGTAAATATTGCCTCCACAAGAAACCTGTAATGATAAAGTGATTCCTTTCATTTAAATATAATTATTAGTAACATATATGGAAGAGTATGTAATGTATCTGTGCTCTAAATATAATTGAATTATATATACATGTAATTGGGATCCTTGGCATTCTGACACCAAGCAAAATATCCTTCAACAGTCGGATGCTCTCCCTTCTCCAGACTATACACAACATATGGGTATAGCAATTCGTCTCCTTGAAAAAAAATTACATCAAAATTTACAGTTTCTATTTACTAGCATTGCAATGAGAACATTGCTTAATTTTGATGTTCAATACCTGTCCCAAACAGAATTATTTCTACAATTTGCCACGCTTTGTGGTGGTCGTTAGCATCCAGACAGGCTTGGAGTGCCTTTGGTGACCTGAATCCAAGCATCCTAGCTAAATCATGTCCAATTACTTCCCATAGAAGTTTTATAATGGCTGAAAAATATAGTTAGATAGTTTATTTTAGTTCAAATGAGCTGAAAGCTCAAGTGAGCTTTTCTAATCACCTTTTGTTCGTTGCCCGTCTATCTGCGCGTCCGTCCGTCTGTAAACTTTTCACATTTTCACCTTCTTCTCAAAAACTAAAAAACATCTGGACCGATTTTGACCAGACTTAATACAAAACACCATTGGTTGAAGGGAAGTTTAAATTGTGAAAATTAAGAGGCAAATCCCCTTCCAAGGGGAGATAATCAAGAAAAGACAAACATAAGGTTGGGTCATTTAAATCTTATTCTCAAGAACCACCGGGCTAGAAAAGCTGACACTAATGTGGAAGCATCCTGGGGTAGTGTAGATTCCAAATCTGGGGGTAGAGCAGGGTCACAATTGATACTACAAGGAGGAAATCTAGTAAAGAACAGCAAGGCCAAATTTATTAAGGTGACCGATGTGGCCCATGGGCCTCCATTTTTGATAATAAAAAAGTCATAATTAATATACGCAATGAAATTGAAAGGACAAATATCTTTATAAAGATTTTTAAATTTATCGTACCCTTAGTCATGTTGATCTCAAAATGGCCTAGGCCAGGTTGCAGCAATATGTCCTGGAGATTCTCATTCTCCCGAATTACCTTTGTGCCTAGTTTAAAAGGTATTAGATGAAAAATTGAAATTATTTCTGAAACGTGAATAGCGAAGGAATAATTAATATTTTCCTCATAAATGAAGGATGGAATATACACTGTACCAATCAGAAATGGTAGCCCATCGCATCCTATGATTGTCCATTTTCGAGTATCTGGAACTCCCGTGTCCCTGAGGATATCCTCCAATACCTCCTTTACTGCTGTGTAGGAGCAGGGATTTACAAGAACAGGGTTCCCTGTTTCAAATAAGGTATAGATATTTTGTATATATGTATTGTGTTTATTGTCATTTTTTATGAATCAACAGTATGAAATGACTGCTTTTTCTTCATGTTAATTAATTTTAAAAATGTCATATTAGTACTTTTTTAATTCTTTTTTTTTCTCTTTTATTCTTTAATTCATGTCTATTTTATATTTATAAAAATTGCATGTGTGTGAAGGGTTGGGGAGGTGGGGTTAGGGTGGGGTGGGTGGGTGGTGGCGGTGGTGGTGTTTAAAGTGCATTATTGTTAATTTGCATATACCCATTATTATTTCTGTAGAACCATGATGGTTATGCGGCATGAAATTATAAGGGTCCTGTTTGGTCTTGCTGTTGCTCGCATCTTGGTTGCTGTCAACCTTGGCCCTCTTTCTTCTTTGTACAATATGCAGTATGTGGTCTTCTAATGATGTAAGTCCTTCTTGCTGTTCGTTCATTATAATTTGAAGTCGACCCGAAATAAAACTTTGTCTAAAGTGCGAGTCTGCATCTTCAAATAATTTAAATAATTTTTCAACTGAATCTGATATGTTTTTAGAGTAAAGCCAGTGTCTAGGAGACAGATCAAAGTTGAATTGCAGTTGAGAAAGAGGGTATAAGAAATGAACAACTGTGGTAACGGCACTTATGATGGCCTTGGCATCAAATCTAACTCTCCAGTTCCTCGCTAATACTTGATTATTATCGAAGTATGTGATAACATCGTGTGGGGAGGGCAGCTGGAGGGGATTGAGAGAATGGGACTGCACCCAGTTCTGTAAACTGCTGTAAGATCCACAGGGACTTGAAGCAATGTTCATATTACATAGGGCTTTGCTCCCACAGATGTAATAAGAAAGGAGGTTTTTTGCAAATGAAAAAGGTAATATAACGTTATTTTGAAATAATGAATATATAATTTCAACTGCAAAAATAAGTCTGACAGTTTCCTTTACAGTAATATGACATTGTTCTTTTCCACAGAGTGCAAGTAAAAAACACACAATGATATTGTTTCTATTCCCAAGAAACGATCTGGGTTCGACCTCCTGTAAAAATACATCGTCTTTAAAGGAAGAAGATAAACTCTTGAGATCGTTGGAAACCTCAACCCTCTGGCTTTCAGCAATGGCTTCTGTAATTCTACTCAGATTCTCCCCAGTGTTATGGGTCAGAATTACCCGAAATGCCAGCAAAGATCAATAACACAATTTAAACTTAACAATAATTTATTTACAGTAATATATAATAAGTATATGAAACATAAAGTACAAACTTAGCAAGAATCTAAGAATACATACATCAGAGTGTCCGTTGCTGCACACAATGTCCCAAAGAAAATATATCCCAGTTATATCTCAATAGTGCTTATACGACAAAGTATTCACAATTATTGTATTCTATGCATTGAATTGACAGGGTATTTATACAGTATTATAAATCTAGAATATTCTAGAAAATGTTAAAACATGATATTACTGGAACAATCTGGACATACACAAAATTTAAGAATGTTCTAGATAAAATGACCAAACATGTTGACCACTCTGGAATGTTCAAGAAACTTAATGTTACTAATTATATACATAATAAAACAATACACATCTCACAACACCTCCCCCCTTAAAAAAGTTTGAATGTCAATGAAAACTTATATTATTAAAATAAAAGTTTTGTACATTAATACAAAATCTAGTATGTTTACGATACTCTTGACAAAGCGTCTGCAATAACATTGTCTTTGCCTTTGATATGCTTAATTGTTATGTTGTATTCTTGTAACAACAAACTCCATCTAGTCAGTCTTTGATTCTTGTTTGACAATTTATGCAAAAATGTCAGGGGGTTGTGATCCGTATATACAAGAATTGGATGCAAAGTAACATTCAAATAAACATCAAAATGCTGTAAAGCTAACAACAAAGCAAGGCATTCCTTTTCAATGGTGGAATAGTTTTGTTGACATTTTGTAAGTTTCTTTGAAAAATAAGAAACAACTCTATCTACATTATCACTATATTCTTGAAACAAAGCTGCCCCGATTCCAACATCACTAGCATCAACAGTAAGCTTAAATTGCTTAGAAAAATCTGGAGTTGACAGAACTGGGTTGCTCATAAGGACAGATTTGATTTTATGAAAGGATTTTTCACAGTCCTTTGTCCATTCAAAGTTAACCCTCTTTTGTAAAAGATTTGTAAGTGGACTAACTACTGAGGAAAAATTTGGACAAAATTTTCTGTAAAACCCAGCCATGCCCAAAAACCTCATTAATTCTTTCTTGTTTGTAGGAATCGGGAACTTTGCAATAGCTTCCACTTTAGCCATAATGGGTGTAACATAACCTTGACCTACTTTATGACCTAAATACTCTACATAAGCATGACAAAATTCGCTCTTCTCAAGGTTCACAGTTAAGTTTGCTTTAGCTAAAATGTCAAATAAAGCACGCATGATTCGAAGATGTTCGTCCCATGTGTCACTGTATATGATGACATCATCAATGTAGGCCTCGCATCCTTCAAGGTCTTGAAGAAGGGAGTGAATCATCCTTTGGAATGTAGCCGGTGCGTTTTTCATGCCAAAAGGCATTA